GCTCCTCCAAACTCTTTCAAGTGTCCATCCATTACCCAATTCCAAAGCCACTTTCACATTTTCAGGTGTTTGTTATTAGCAACAGCCCCACTTCTCAGTATCAATTTTCTGTCTCAGTCCATTTTGTGCTACTGTAACAGAATACCACAGACTGGGTAATTTATAAAATAAAATTTAAAAACAGGTTTATTTAGGTAATGGTTCTACAAGCTAGAAAGTTCAAGATTGAGAGGCTGCATCTGGCAGCTTCTGGCAAGGGCCTTATGCTACATGAAAACATGGCAGAGAAATAGAAGAGGTACCAGGCACATGTAAAAAGGGCTAAACATGGGAGGCAACCTCACTTTACAATAATCTGTTCTCACAAAAACCATTCCACAAGAACTAACCCAGTCTTGCAAGAAAGACTCTAATCCATCTTAACAACATAATCACCTCTTAAAGGCACCATCTCCCAACACCACCACATTGGGAAACAGCCTCAACATGGGTTTTGGTGGGGACAACCCATATTCAAATCACCGAAGTTTGTACATTCGAAATCATTTATGTATTCGAAAATCATTTATGTTCTTCAAAACCAAGATAAATACAAAATCCCACTACTAAAAGAAAGAGGCTGTTCACTTCCAGCCTGTTCTTTACTCTTTCAAAGGCTACACAAGATGTTTACTATTTAGGGTAGAATTGTTTAAAAATTATAACTGTGCATTCCTAGTTGTTATGAGAAGGCCAATAACAACAAAGGTAGGATAATCCTTGCCCTTTCCAGACCATCTACTACAACTGGGAAGAAAGCAACAGTAAAGTACAAGCACCAGATTTAGAGTACAGACCGAAAGCACTGACTCAAAGGAAGAGGAAATCACATCTAATTGTAGTGTAAGTTGAGCATCCTGAATCCAAAACTCTGAAATCTGAAACGCTCCAACGAGCATTTCCTTTGAGTACCATGTTGGTGCTCCAAATATTTCAGATTTAGATTTTTGGATTTAGGATACTAAACTGAAAAGTAGTGTAAATATTCCAAAATCCAAAACACTCCTGGTCCTAAGCATTTCAGACAAGAGATGCTCAATCCTTACTATTTATTTCTGTTAAAAAAGAAAGTATAATCTCAGTCTTCAAGGATGCATGTAGTCAGGCATACCTAAGGAAAGAAAAGACACAATTTTCTTTGAGGGAGCTGATTAAACACAGTGTAAAACAAACTTTCTCAGGGGTTCCTCATCTGAATCACTGATCACTGCAAATGATGTGATTATATTCTCAATTCTCCCAAGGATGATACATAATTAGTACCATTCAAGAAGCACAGGACAGAAATTGGAGATAATTCATTACATTCAATGGATAGGTTAGAGCCACAGTTCTCAAATTAACACGACTCAGGAACTTGGAGGGCTTGGCTTGTTCAAACAGACTGCTAGGCCCCAGCCCAGAGACTGATTCTTTAGGCAAACCCAGGAATGTTCTAGGGCACTAAGAATTAATTCTGGTTAAGAAAGGCTGATATAAAGTGTATCTGTATTCGAAAATCATTTATGTTCTTTAAAGTAAATACTGAAAACAGAGACCAGTAGGAAGAAGCAGCAGCATCTTTTCTTCATCTATTCAAGACAACATTATCTTGATCTGTTTCACTGCAGTCTTATCTTTTGAAATAAATATTCTTGGTTGTTACATATGAAGAATATATACAAACACTGTACCAACCTATACAAGCTGCAGTACTAAAGAACATGGCCAGTGCATGCAGACGTGGTATGCTAGAACAGTGATTCTCAGGCTTCTGTAAAAAGATGGAAGTTCTGCCCACTTATAGCATTAAAGGGCAGTTCACCAATCCTTTCATATCAGAAGGAGTCTTGAGGTGGAATTTTAAGACAAAATTTTTGTTGAAATACTCTCAATAATATGTCAGCAATATATTTACCATTACTGATAAGATTTTTTATATTTATACTAAATAACAACTTAGTTGAGTAGAAAACTCTTGGGTCCTAACTACTTGAGTTCACAACTTCTCAACCCATTGACTTCTGTCACATTGCGTAACAGAGAAATCTGAAGAAATATGTATATAACCTATATTAACTAATTATCCCCATTTACCTTGATTCCTTGGCCTGACTCAACTCATAGCTTTTTCTTAAGGCTTGTAATTTTAAAAACTTAACCTGAACTTTTACCTAGGTGTGGGTTCCTTTTCACTGATCTTATCTGAAATTTTCTGTTTCCCTTAATTATACATATCTGAAGTTGGGAGTTTTTGTTTTTACTTAAAGTCTTCTTTCATTATATCTGACCATCATTTCTGTTACAAGTGTCTGAGAAAGTAAATCCATTTTTATGGAGTTTATTTAACTGTTTCCCTTTTTCAACTTGTAGCCCTTTCATCTGAGTCTGTTCCCTCCTTACGGGATTTCTTTCCTTCACTGGGTTCCCAGTAACTTTCTTTCATAGTCATTACCTCAAAACATTCATTTTCATCACTTTATAGTTTTTTAATGCTTTGTGAGTTTCCCAAGTTTGTCCTCCACAGATACTTCACTATCCGTAACATTAAATTCACCTCTTTCTAGTATATTGCCTTTAAAAATGGAATGTCAGTTTTGCTACCATATATTAGTTCCCAGTCATCCTCCCTGTTATCTGCTTCCCTTTTCATCTTGTAGCCCTTTCATCTGCGTTTGCTCTCTCCTTATGGGATTTCTTTCCTGATTTAACGGAGCCACATTTATTTTTACATGCTGTTCAGCATGCCCACTGTTTTTGTCTTCATTTTTTCCTGGTTCCTTTCACATTGATAAGGCACCTCTTCCTTCAGTCCTTCAGATTCTTTCCCTTCTTCTTCTTCTGCAGTATTTTTTTCAGAGAGCTTTCATTTTCCCCATGTTAAAGCACAACCAACCCAGGCTGAGTTTCTGCCAAGCAGAGAGGTACAGATCGCCCTTGCTAGTAGAATCCCTTCCCAAAATGATGTGCAAGATCTAAGCAATTCCCAGTGCTTATATTGAGTGATTCTACTAGAACAAAGAGGGGACTTCCTCTATTCCAAATAACTAAACTCCCTGAAACATTGAACAGGTGGAATTTTTGATATTCTACCCTTTGGCCTTATACTACCTACCTACCTATGCCCTACCTACCTGGGCCCTACCTACCTATATCCTACCTACTGTTGCGGCTCAGGACATGCTACCCCAAACTACAGCCACTTGAAGGCCGTTGCGACTTGGCCTCTCCTTTCTGTGGGACAGCCAGCGGTAAAGAAATTCTCTAAGCTACATCTTCTGAAAGTATGTCTTTTTTTGAGACAGAGTTTCACTCTGTTGTCCATGCTCGAGTGCAGTGGCATGATCTCAGCTCGCTACAACCTCCCCGTCTCAGGTTCAAGCAATTCTTGTGCCTCAGCCTCCCGAGTAGCTGGGACTACTGGTGGGCATCACCACACCCAGCTAATTTTTGTATTTTTAGTAGAAATAGGGTTTCGCCATGTTGCCCAGGCTGGTCTCAAACTCCTGGCCTCAAGCGATTCACCCACCTCAGCCTTCCAAAGTGCTAGGATGACAGACATGAACCATCACACCCGGCCTTGAAAGTTATTAAACCCTCATGTGACAAGGGTCCCACCCTATACCTGGAGGAAAGGAATGTTACACAGAGAGGCCAAGAAGAATCTCAACAAACAAGCCTAAGTTCCCCCATTTATTACTATTGGATAATACCCTTTTTGTCCAATCATACTTCTATATGACTGACTGTCCACTGTTCACCGAACTTACACACAAAAATAGTTTTTCCCTGATCTGTGGGACTTCGGGTCTTCATTTCTGAGGGCTCCTATGTAATGTATTAAATAAATTTGTTAAGCTTCTCTATTGTTAATCTGCTTTTTGTTATATGGGTAATGGCCATGACCTCTGCAATTGGTGAGGAAAAGACATTACTTTTTCTCTCCTCCACTACCTTTCTAGGCTCAGTTCAATTCACCATCTTCTCCATGCAGACCTTTCCTGCCATGAAGACTCATTCTGACCCCTCTCCTCTTTAACGCTAATCTTTGTCAGTGCCATACAATGTGTACCACTTGTTTTGTAATTATTTCTCTAACTCCAGGTCAAGTTAATCAACGTCAGTTACACTTTAGACTTCTCTGTAAAGAATATTTGTCAACTGACAGAAATGCAGTTACAGAGAACTTCATAAAGAATCCAAACACTTCCACTAAGGTTTAATTTTGCACAACAGGTACAATTTAGGCAACCAAATCTCTAATACTGAGTTTAAAAAAAAAAAAAAACTCAGCATTCCATTTTCTCATCTGAAGCTCTTGGAAGCAATCAGTTTATTTGTAAGTAGAAAAAAGGCTCTATATATTAAAAGATAAAAACATAATCAGTTTCCATTGCTTAAAAAAACTTGCTAATTCAAAAAGTTAAAATGGCATGTAACATATATGTTATATTTATACAGAGAGAGTTTTTTGTTTGTTTGTTTTTTGAGTCAGTCTCACTCCGTCACCCAGGCTGGAGTACAGTGATGTGATCTCAGTTCACTGCAAGCTCCACCTCCTGGGTTCAGACAATTCTCATGTCAGCCTCCAGAGTAGCTGGGATTACAGATATGTGCCACCATGCTAATTTTTGTATTTTTAGTACAGACAGGGTTTCGCCATAGAGGCCACGCTGGTCTCAAACTCCTGACATCAAGTGATTTGTCTGCCTCAGCCTCTCAAAGTGCTGAGATTACAAGCATGAGGCACCATGCCTGGCCATATAACATAATTAAGAACATAAAATATTCTTTTAGGTTGGGACAGTTTAAAAGTACTATAAGCAAATGTTATATCCCAAATCTGTCAGGACCCAAAATCCACCAAATTCTGTTTCAATGAGATCTATTATATTACATTCATCACCTCATTTCTGCTTATTATTAACTTATTTTTAATACAACTCACTCATATTAATGATCAGAGTAAAAAGTCTACTTACCCCACCCATTGTAATTCCATGAAGAAGTGCAACATAAGGTTTCTGGCAAGAAGCTGAAAGAAAGAGAGCTGCAATTTTAGTTACAGTGTTTAAAATACTTCCCTTTTTCTAAAAAAAATCACATTATATATACTATAAAGATTTTCTCTAGGAAATTTTAGCAAGAAACACCAAAGAAAACTAAATGGTTTGTAAAATACATATTTTTAAATGTCAATCCAATACAATCCTGATTATCTATTCATTATCATTTAACAACATAACCTTCCATTTTAAACAAAAGCCAGGGCCCAGTGTGGTGGCTCACACCTGTAATCTCAGCTCTTTGGGAGGCCAAGGTAGAAGGATTGCTTAAGGCCAGCAGTATGAGACCACCCTGGACAAAAAAGCAACATCTCATCTCTTAAAAAAAAAAAAAGCCAGGTGTGGTGGCAGGCATCTGTAGCCCCAGCTTCTCAGGAGGTTAAGGTGGGAAGAATACTTTATCACTTAAGCATTGGAGGTTGAGAATGCAGTGAGCTGCAATCATGCCACTGCACTCCAGCCTGGGCAACAGAGCAAGACCCTATCTTTCAAACATAAAAAAGGATTTCTGCCAAGATGGCCAAATAGAAACAGCTCCAGAGCACAGTTCCCAGTGAGAACAACACAGAAGGCAAGCAATCTCTGCATTGTCAACCAAGGTACCAGGTTCATTTCAATGCGACTGGCTGGACAGTGGGTGTAGCCCAAGTAGGGCAGAACGAGGCAGGGCAGGGCGCTGTCCCATCTGGGAAGTGAAACTGGACGGAGGATCAGGGACTCTTCCCCTCTGGTACTCCAGTTCAGATACTGCGCTTCTCCCATGGCCTTTGCAACCCACAGACAAGGAGATCCCAGCCGGACTGAAAAGCACTGCAAGTTACTGGCACAGATCGGAGCAGCAGCTGCAGCGGGCACTGTGGGTCACTGGCACAGATCTGGGCAGACATTTTGACTAGCACTGAGAGCGACTGCCGGATGGAACTTCCTGCTCCCCAGAAAAAAGGGGACCTGAAAGCAGGGAGACACATGATATGGCTTGGTGGGTCCCACCCCAACAAAGACCAGCAAACTAAAGCCCTCTCACTTGAGAGTTTCGCAGCCAGTACATCAATTCAACGTTGACCTGGGATGATCAAGCTCGATGGGGGAAGGGCATCTGCCATAGCTGATCTTACCTGTGTAAACAAAAGCCAGAGGAAGCTTACACAGCAGTTGGACTGAGCCCGTGGCAGCCCAGTAGCGCCTCTGCAAGCAGACGAGAGACAGACTGCCTCCTCAAATGACTCCCTGATCCCTGCATAACCAAAAAGATGACACATACGGAAGAGCTCTGGCTGATGACTGGTGGGTATCCTTCTGGGATGAAGCTACCAGAAGAAAGATTAGGCAGCAACACTTGCTGTTCCGAAGCCCCCAGGGGTGATTCCCAGGCAAGCAAGGTATGGAGTGGACCTCCAGCAGTCCTACAGCAGGGGGGCCTATTAGAAGGAAAACCAAAAAACAAAAAGAAATAGTTTCAACATTAAGAGAAAGGACGTCCACTCAGAGACCTCATCTGAAAGTCAGCAACTTCAAAGATCAAAGGTAGATAAATCCACGAAGATGGGAAGAAACCAGCCCAAAAAGAATGAAATCATCAAAGACCAGAATGTCTCTCCTCCTCCAAGGGATCACAACTCCTCACCAGCAAGGGAACAAAACAGGATGGAGACTTGAATTTGAAGAACTGACAGAAACAGACTTCAGAAGATGGATAATAACAAACTTCTCTGAGCTAAAGGAACATGTTCTAATCCAATGCAAAGAAACTAAAAATCTTGAAAAAAAGTTAAACAACATGCTAACTAGAATAACGAGCATAGAGAATAACAAATGACTTGATGGAGCTGAAAAACACAGCACGAGAACTTCACGAAGCATACACAAGTTTCAATAGCTGAATTCATCAAGCAGAAGAAAGGATATCAGAGACGGAAGATCAACTCAATGAAATAAAACGAGAAGGGAAGATTAGAGAATAAAGAGTCAAAATAAATGAACAAAGTCACCAAGAAATATGGGATTATGTGAAAAGACCTAATCTACGCTTGATCGGTATACCTGAATGTGATGGGGAGAATGAATCCAAGCTAAATAACACTCTTCAGGATATTATCCAGGAAAACTTCTCCAGCCTAACAAGGCAGGCCAAAATCCAAATCCAAAAAATATGGAGACCACCACAAAGATATTCCTCAAAAAGAGCAACCCCCAAGGCACATAATTGTCAGATTCACCAGGGTTGAAATGAAGGAAAAAATGCTAAGGGCAGCCAGAGAGAAAGGTCAGGTTACCCACAAAGCAAAGCCCATCAGACTCACAGCAGATCTCTCAGTAGAAACCCTACAAACCAGAAGAGAGTGGGGGCCAATATTCAACATCCTTAAAGAAAAGAACTTTCAACCCAGAATTTCATATCCAGCAAAACTAAGATTCATAAGCGAAGGAGAAATCAAATCCTTTAAGAACAAGCAATTGCTGAGAGATTTCATCACCACCTGGCCTGCCTTACAAGAGTTCCTGAAAGCAGCACTAAACATAGAAAAGAACAACCAGTACCAGCCACTACAAAAACATACCAAATGGTAAAGAGCATCGACACAATGAAGAAACTGCATCAACTAATATTAAAGTTCATTAAACTATTTTGACTGAAATAAGCACTCAAAATAGTTTAATCATCTTTATTTATGCCTGGCACATGATATTAAAAGTTTAAGTAAGAATGTCTATTGAATACATTTTTGACAAAGTATACTGTCCACCTCATTTCTTGATTCCATTTCCAAAGCTCTGAGCAGCAAACACATACCAATAGCATTGTTCAGCATATATTCGTCTCTGAAGAAAACTGAGGCTATCTTCTGGTTTGCATTTTCAGCTTCTGAGATCGCTAGGAAGGAAAGATTACAAATCAAAAAAATGATTTAATAGCCAGCACTGTCAACTAGATTAAAAGTATTATGATAATTAAATACTGGGGGAAAGGGAGTATTCTAAAATGACTTGTTAAAATTTTGTAATATGCCATAGACATATTACAGTAACACATCCATAGTCCAAAGTCAAAGCTTCAAGGGAAAAATTCCTATTCTTGTTTTCCATTGCTTCTTACAAAATGTTAGATTAGAAATTATAGGCTGGGCATGGTGGCTAAAGTCCTGTAATCCCAGCACTTTGAGAAACCAGGTGGGAGGATTCCTTGAGGCCAGGAGTCTGAAACCAACCTGTACAACATGGTGAGACCCTGTCTCTACAAAAAATTTTTAATTAGCTGGTATGGTGCCACGTGCCTGTCATCCCAGCTGCTCAGGAGGCTGAGGTGGGAGGATCACTTGAGTCCAGGATACCGAGGCTACAGTGAGCCATGAATCACATGACTGTACTCTGGCCTGAACAGAGGAGTGAAACTTCTCTTTAAAAAATAATAATACAATTGCAACAAACTGCATTTTCTTTTAGTTATTTTCCCTAGAACCTAAATTAACATTTGCTAGACATACATTTCCTTTGGTAATATATCTTAATACAAAATGTATTATACATGTGTGTATAGTACTACAATGTGTTGCATGTCCTTACGTATTTATTTCTGCCACATTCATTTCCCACATAAACATTTTTTTAGCATATATTAAGTACCAAGTACTGTTTTAGGTGTTGCAGATTATGAGACAGCAATATAAGATGACTGTCCTGGAGTTCAGACTCATAAGAGACTACTAAAACATATTCTTTGTCCTATAAGGATGGGGTGCTGTGGTAATGGGAGTAGATGTGTAATTAATTCAAAGTAGGCTTCCTGTAAGAGGTAACCCTAAGCCAGGTTTGAAAAGGTAAACCCTAAGCCACATTTGAAAAGATAGGTAAGGATTTCCTAGAAAATAACAGGAAGAAAAATTATGAGTAGGGGAAGTAGTACCCTACAAAGGCTCAACGTCAAGAAATAATAGTAAAATCAAGAATCAAACAGTTTTAAAAGACAAAAGGAAAAAGGTGAGGCTAGACAGGCAAATAACATACTGACATTTTTATTAATATCAATAGAAATGTAACTTCTCAAAGACATCGCTACAGCATACTACTGCCTGGCTTAAAAAACAAATGCTCAGTAAACATCTACTGAATAGTGAACACTATCAAATGGTTTCACTTCTATTGCAATCTTCTATTACCCAGAGTTCACATCTCCTACCATATTCCTCCTCCAGTCAATTTCAAGACTGCTATCAAAGTTTTCGCTTTTATATACTACAAGCTCATATGCCTTTCCTGTCTTTAAGTCTATGAATATTATCTATTAAAACACAAACTAAACATTTCATAGATATGTTTCCTCTTTTATGGGAAAGACATACTTTTTTTTAGTCTACAAATTTTTTTTTAGTCTACAAATTTTTACACTAACTCTAGAATTCTCTTTTTTGTTTGCTTTGAGATAGAATATCACTCTGTTGCCCAGGCTAGAGCAGAGTGGCACATTCTTGGCTCACTACAACCTCCATCTCCCGGGTTCAAGTTATTCTCCTGCCTCAGCCTCCCATGTAGTTGGGGGTACAGGTGTGCACCAACACGCCTGGCTAATTTTTGTATTTTTACTAGAGACTGGGTTCACCATGTTGGCCAGCCTGGTCTCCCAATCTCAGATGATCTGCCTGCCTGGGCCTCCTACCCTGGAATTCTGATATCTCTTCCTTCAAAATGTTCCATATTTTGACTTCTTTTCCTGGTTTTTATAAGAAAGATCTGACATCTACTTTTGTCATTCTGAGGTTTCACTGATATATACCTAAACAAATAAAAAAAAGACTGTTGTATTTGTCTACTGTCCTTTATTCAGATCTTATCACTGCTTACCAATTCTAAAAGGAAAGGAATATAAATTTTATTGCCTTTGGAATGAGGCTCTTTTATCTCAAAAATCTTTTCAAATTTCCTTCTAATTTTTTCTGATACACTTTTTATTCTAACCAATTAGTTCCATATAAATTAAATGTTCTTCATAATCATTTTTTGAAAATTTTCTGAGTGTCCACTTATTGTCTTGAACTATGATCTTTTAAGAACTAAATTTCCCAGACTTGAATCCATTGCTTTGTATGTGCAAACTACAATAATTCTAGAATTTGTAGCTGTTATTTCCAAACATCAATATAAAATCAGGCCTATATACAGAAATAGCTCCATCGGAAGAAGTTAATAAACTCATTACATAAAGCTCTGCCTATCTGTAAACTGACAAGATCACAGGCCACAAGAAAGGCTAATTCAAGGTCGAAAGCAGTATTTTAAAAATATGCATGTTGTTGGGAGACCGAGGCGGGCAGATCGCCTGAGGTCGGGAGTTTGAGACCAGCCTGGCCAAGATGGTGAAACCCTGTCTCTACTAAAAATACAAAAATTAGCTGGGCATGCTGGTGGGCACCTGTAATCCCAGCTACTCGGGAAGGTGAAGCTGGAGAATTGTTTGAACCCAGGAGGCAGAGGTTGCAGTGAGCCAAGATCATGCCATTGCACTCTAGCCTAGGCAACAAGATCAAAGCTCTGTCTCCAAAAAAAAAAAAAAAAAAAAAAATCCATGTCGTAAACAAAACAATAGATTCAAAAACAAGTCAGTTTACAGATCAGTTTAAGCCACGCATCCCCAAACTGCGGCCCCCTGAGGCCATTTATCCGGCCCTCCACAGCACTTCGGGAAGGGGCAACTCTTTCACTGGTGGTCAGTGAGAGGAGCACAGTATGTGGTGGCCCTCCAACGGTCTGAGGGACAGTGAACTGGTCCCCTGTGTAAAAAGTTTGGGTACACCTGGTTTAAGCAATCAAAAGTTTCCATTAAAGTGAAATTTTAAAATTCAGTTAAATTTAATAAGCATTTGAAATTATGTCCTCAATCCAGCTTTTTTCCTGTTCCTAATATAATGATTTACATAAACATAAGTTTGGTGAACAAGCCCAAAGATTGTTTTCTTAATACAAGACAAACAAACAAATATATGAAATTTAAACACAAGGAAACAAACCATACCCGAACCCTACCAATTCCATAAGGAACGAAATACAAATGTAAAGTTTCAGTATATTGTATATATAATATGGACAATTAAAGTGGTAATGATATACACATGACACGGATCCTGAGAACAAACGTCTCCTCTTTTGTCTTTAACATTTAAAAATGTGTAGACAGACTGACCTGAACAATTATGAAAAATAAGGAGAGCTTCTCTTATTTATTTCGGCATGTTTAAACACATGTAAAAACATATTTACAATGTAACAGGATAAATACATACATAGAAGACGCTTGTTTTGGGATCATGAATAGTGGGAAGCACAGAAAAAGTTATGGAAACATGTGAGAGCACGTCATATTTGGAGAATGCCAAGCCACTCAACATGGCCAGATTGTCAGGTCTGATGACTAACAGAACTGCTTAATATAAGCTCTTCTAAAATATAAAGTGGACCCATATACCATAACTGGACATTTTGTTTGTGATGATTCAGAGAGACAACATATTTAAATTTCAAAAGGGTATCTGTGTAGTGAGAAAAAAAATAATCAGCTATGCTCATTTGCTAATACTAACCACAAAAAGTCTTAAAATTCATTTTTTTCTAAGAATGTATTAACTTTATAACAAAAAATTCTAAAAAGTAAAGCAAATTACAAATTATTACAAAAATTTAACAATACTTGATCAGTTCTAGTGGGGCAAAAGGGCATTCAGTTGAAACAGAAAAATTTTTACCTCTGATATCACCCCCAGCACAGAAAGCCTTTTCTCCAGCTCCCTTTATAATAATCAGGAAAGTTTCAGGATCTTGTTCCCACTTCTATTCAAATGTAAAAAAAAAAGATGGTATAAGCACATTATAAACACAAACTCATTAAAGTTATATGCATATGCATATATACATACAATCATATATTCATATACATATGTGACAATACATATTCTTCTATAAGATATCCAGAAGAACGAATCTCATCCCATTCTTCATTGAATGAACTTCATTTGCTTTTCTCAGATAAAGTAGAGGCTACTTCAAAAAGGCTGCTAGATGAGTACACTGTGTGATCCAAATTTCAAGACAGCACCTGAAATCTTTGCCGTAACTTTGATAGCAAGATGAACAAATATGGGCTTAATAATAGTAAGTTATATAAACATAAATTTGGAGAACAAATCAACCCCAAGACTGCTGATAAATACGGCAATAACCTTTCTACTGTGCTGATATAGGGCTCTCTGTCCTCCTCACAAATGTATAAGTAACAGAATGAAACCACTTATGATATTGATTAAAATATGCAACTGATTTCGGTTTGGTAAAGACAGCTAATAAATAAATAGCATGAAAGAATCAAGAGCCAATGAAAATGTGAAAGTCTAGAACAATGGACAAAAAGAAAAATTAGTTAAGAAAACTTAACAGGGGTTCTGTCAATCTATAGATCTAAGTTTGAATATCCCTTATAGGAAATGCTTGGGACCAAGTGTTTCAGACTATTTTACATTTTAGAATATTTGCATACACATTATGAGATATCTTGGGGATTGGACCCGAGTCTAAACACAAAATTCCTTTATGTTTCATATACACCTTATACATATAGCCTGAAGGTAATTAATTTTCCCTTAGGGATGCTGAATAAACATTGTGTTGTGCACTTGCGTTTGACTGCAAGTCATCAAGAGGGAGGTATGGAATTTTCCACTTGTGGAGTCATGTCGATGCTTAAAGAGTTTTTTAATTTTGTAGTGTTTTGAATAAGGATGTTCAACCTCTACTAGAGAATAAATATGTAACGCACAAGGAAGATGTAGCTGAACAGATGTGGTTGTCCAAAAGGTTCATGCAATATTGGACTACACTAATTACATTAATAGAGAAGTTTTCTAACATGAACATTTCTAATTTCTTCCACTCTGGTCCAACTCTAATTTGCAACAGTTGGTTTATTTCTATATATCATATTTTTGACATATTATAAAGGTATCTCAAACAGAAACATAAGAATGGAAGACAGATTTATCAAATGAGAATTAAGGAATTGGTAACCAGGGGAAAACTAGTATTTGTTCAACATCTACATAGCAGAATGTATTAGGTACTTACATAGTCTATTCACTTAATGTTTACATATCATCATAGCCATTTCAGAGCTGAGGAGAGTGAGGTACAAAGCTTAACTTTCCCAGCCTACACAGATAATCAATAGAAATCCAAGTTTCAAACCAGACAGTCTGACTTTAAGTCCTGTTTTTCTACTATCCCATGCTGTTCACATAGAAAAGTTTATGGACTTCTGTGAGAAAAAGCAAAAGAAGCAGTTTAAAAGCAGCTGTCTTCAACTGAAAAGGCCGTCATGTGGAAGCAAATTAGATTTGTACTCATGTTCTCAGAGGCAGAGCCAGTATCACTGGTTTAAAGGTCAGAGAAATACAGAGTGCCAGAACACAAAAAGAAACTTGCAAACAAATCAGTGCTACATAAAAGTCAAAGAATCTGTCTCAGGAGGCATCGAACTCCCTATCACCAGTGATGTTCAAGAATAACCCCATAGGGGAAACACTGATGCCTCAAGAATCAGTGGGGCTTAGCTAAACACATATCCCAGGGAAACGTGATTCTATAAGAGAAAATACCAGAAATGTCCCATTACGATATTCTTCTAAAAAAAATCCATATAATTGCTATAAGAAAATTACAAACCTTTAGCTGTGGATAAATCTGCTGAACCATATTAAGAGTCAATGCATTTAGCGACTTTGGTCTGTTTAGTGTTATGACTCCTGCACAACCTTTTTTTTCCAATAGTACCTCTTCTGTGGCATCTGTGTGCTTGGACATTCTCTGTATAAACAAAGAATAACTTTATGACAAAATTTCTTACGTTTTTATCACAAACCAATATCAAAACATACATATCAAATGCAAATGTTACATATTAATGATAACCAAAGGAATGAGTAACTAGGTACTTCTGACAAATTTCTAAAGTCATTTAGATTACATAGATGAGCAATTCCAAAGCAAATCATGTAATTCCAAAGCTCAACTTTCGAAACTTGTCTAAAGCTTCTAAAGTTATTTAGATTACATAGATGAGCAATTCCAAAGCACACACCTCCTAAATTTTTAAATTTTTACTTCAGAGCTAATTGAATAAACTGACTTATCATAGAGCCCAGTCTGGAATTTCTTAGACACTGAAATACTCTTAAATCTTTTAATTTACTACTGTATATCAAACTCTATGTTACATGCTGAGAAAGCAAAGAAGAAGAAAGGGCAAATAAGTCTGACTATAATAGCTATGGTCAACTTGAAAATAAAGGTGATATTTGAGTGGGGCTTGATGTATCCCAAGAAAAAGGCGAGGCAAGAATTCCAGGCGGAGGAAACAGCACATGCTAAGCCATAAGCAATGACTATTTGGAAATGTTAAGATGTTAAAACATTTGTGGAACAAAGACTGCATTGAGGAAATGAGTGATGTGAGGACAGGCAGAGTAAGTAGTTTGCAGCCAGATGATGACAGACTTAATAATTGTGAAGAAGTTGCCTGCACACTGACTTAAGGCCTTACACAATATAACTTAATCACCAGGTCTCACTACTCATGTATTTTGCAGTATTAACTAATAAAACACCTGTGAGGAACACAGTTTTAACTATATAGTGGTTTCCCAGGACTCTGCTATATCCAACCATTAGGACTCATAACACCACCATTCTTTTCTAAGTTCTGGGATACATGTGCTGAATGTGCAGGTTTGTTACATAGGTATACATGTCCCATGGTGGTTTGCTACATCAATCAACCCGTCATCTAAGTTTTAGGCCCTGCATGCATTAGGTATTTGTCCTAATGTTCTCCCTCCCCTATCCCCCTCCCCCCAACAGGCCCCAAAACGTGATATTCCCCTCCCTGTGTCCATGCATTTTCACTGTTCAAACTCCTACTTAACAGAGAGAACATGCAGTGTTTGGTTTTCTGTTCCTGTGTTAATTTGCTGAGAATGATGGCTTCCAGCTTCATCCATGTCCCTGCAAAGAACATGAACTCAGTCTTTTTTATGGCTGCATAGTATTCCATGGTGTATATGTGCCACATTTTCTTTTTTTTTTTTTTTTTTTTTTTTTAAAATATGGAACGCTTCACGAATTTGCGTGTCATCCTTGCGCAGGGGCCATGCTAATCTTCTCTGTATCGTTCCAATTTTAGTATATGTGCATTAAGCAACATGTTTATATATTGTTTAAGTTCTTTATGAAGTCAAGTTGCATATTTAATATTGGAGTTCAGTTTTGTTAAAATTATCAGACAAAAATAAAAATCATTTATATTCACTTAAAGTTACAGGAACAGTTATTCAACAACAAAGTTGTGTCTTTTCAATTTCATTTGAATTTCTGAGATTTTCTAATGAAAAATTCAAATCAAAACTTTAGCAGTAGTAATATATATTTTGTAATCATATTGACAATGATCAAAAAGTCTGATACATTCTTATGTTGAATATAAGTAAACAAATGTACTGTGAAAGGATAAACTATTACAGAACCTGAGAAAAACAGTCTGACGACACTTTTTTTTACAAATAGATATACGTGGTTTTTATTTTTCTAAATGCTAGGAAATACTGTTTGTTTTTTTTTTTTAACTTTTAGGTTCAGTGGTACATGCACAGGTTATATAAATTCATGTTATGGGGGTTTGTTGTACAGAATGTCATACAAGCCTAGTACCCAATAGTTATTTTTTTCTGATCCTCTCCCTACTCCCACCCTCCACCCTCAACTAGGCCCCAGTGCCTATTGCTTTCCTCTTTTTGTCCATGTGTTCACATCATTTAGCTCCCACTTACAAGTGCGAACATGCTGAACATGCGGCATTTGGTTTTCTGTTTCTGCATTAGTTTGCTAAAGATGATGGCCTGGAGGAACCTCCACATACCTTAAAAGAACAGGATCTTGTCCCTTTTTATGGCTGCATAGTATTCCATGGTGTGTTTGTGTATCACATTTTCTTTATCCAATCTGCCACTGATGGGCATGTAGGTGATTCCATTGTCTTTGCTATTATGAATAGCACTGCAGTGAACATATGTGTGCATGTGTCTTTATGATGTTATGATTTATATTCATTTAGATATACATCCAGAAATGAAATTGCTGGGTCAACTGATAGTTTTGTTTTTAACTCTTTGAGGAAATCACCACACTTATTTCCACAACGGTGGAACTAATTTACATTCCCTTCAACATTATTTTCTCAACAACCTCACCAGCATCTGTTATTTTATTTATTTATTTATTTTTTGAGACGAAGTCTTGCTCTGCCGCCCAGGATGGAGTGCAGTGGCACAATCTCAGCTCACTGCAACCTCCACCTCTCAGGTTTAAGCAATTCTCCTGCCTCAGCCTCCTAAGCAGCTGGCTCTACAGGTACAAGTCCAGCTAACTTTTTTTTTGCATTTTTAGTAGGGACATGTTTCGCCATATTGGCCAGGCTAGTCCTGAACTTCTGACCTCGTAATCCACCCTCCTTGGCCTCCCAAAGTGCTGGGATTTTATAGGCATGAGCCACTGTGCCCGGCTAGTACTAAGGAAGCCCAATCCTGCTTAGCTTACGAGATCAGGTGAGATCAGGCATGTTCAGGGTGGTATGGCCATATACTACATCTGCTATTTTTTTTTTTTAATAATAGTCATTCTGACTGGTGTGAGATGGTATTTCATCATGGTTTTTTTGTTTTGTATTTCTCTAACAATCAGTGATACTGAGTTTTTTTTTTTCATATGTTGGTTGGCCACATGTGTATCTTCTTCTGAAAAGTGTCTGTTCATGTACTTTGCCCATTTTTTAATGTGGTTGTTTTTTCTTGTAAATTTGTTTAAGTTCCTTATAAATGCTGGATATTGAACCTTTGTCAGATGCATAGTTTACAAACATTTTCTCCCATTCTGTAGGTTGTATGTTTGCTGATAGTTTCTTTTGCTGTCCAGAAGCTCTTTAATTAGACCTCATTTCTCAATTTTTCTTTTGTTGCAATTGTTTTTGGCATCTTCATCATAAATCTTTGCCCATTCCAATGTCCAGAATTATATTGCCAAGGCTGTCTTTCAGGGTTTTTACAGCTTTGGGTTTTACATTTAAGTCTTTAATCTGTCTTGACATAATTTTCGTATATGGTATAAGAAAGGGGTCCAGTTTCAATTTTCTGCATATGGCTAACCAGTTATCCCAGCACCATTTATTGAATAAGGAATCCTTTTGTCATCACTTCTTTTAGTCAGGTTTGTCGAAGATCAGACACTTGTCTATCTGAATGGCTGTAAATTAGAGATGGTCAAAAGATTAATCTACATCAGTGTTGGAACTGAAGTGAAGTGGCGGCCATTACTCTCTGAAACTGCCAGCAAGTTCCAGCTTGTCCTTCCTCTTTTGTGCTCTGCAACCAGCTTGCCCAGGTCCACCAGCAGACAAAGACTTTACCACTTCACAGTCTCTTCACCTCACCTTCACAGTCTCACTCCAGCAGCTGGAAGTGCCTGGCCTCCCAGATTTTCTTGCAAGTTCCTGCTGCCCACCTGTAACCAGCAGGTAAGTAGGAAGGAGAGTAAATAACTCTTTTGATCCTCCAACTTCCCTTCCTGGACCATTTAATAGCTTTGGCACTACTGTGGGAGATCGTATTCCCATAATAAGTCATTTATTCCCTAATATTCCCTGTGGTTCTACTTCTAATACGGCTCAGATGAGTGGAGCAACACCAGGGCTCTTGTCTCACACTGAATTAGACAAAGCAACATGGACACACATGGAGTGGTTTTAGGAGCAGAGTTTAATAGGCAAGAAAGGGAAAAGAAAGAAAGAAGCACTTCCTCTGTACAGAAACAGAGGGAGGGGGCTCCAAAGCCGAGAGGAGACCCCTTGTGCCATGGAAAAGTAGCTGCTTGTACGAGTAGGCTGAAGGAGGTGGTGTCTGATTTGCGTAGGGCTCAAGGGATTGGTTTGACCAGGCATGTTACTCACAGAGCCTGCGAAAAAACTGGTCCTCTCACCCTAGTCTTTCAATATGCAAATGTAGGGCACCATGATGTTCCGCACACATGGGGATACCGGGAGGTGGCCAAGTTGCCAGGCACATGTGGAGGCAAGGGCAAGAGAACAATGGTAGGAATTGCTATGTTTGGGTGGACTTAGTTTCTAATGGCCTGCATTTGCATATCAGAGGTTGCCCGCCAGCTCTAAGAGCAGGGGCTTTCCTGCTAGACAAGAAATGTTTCTAGAGCTGCTATAAAAGAGAAGAAAACTTTCCAAGGATGCCTTTTCCTCTCTATCTAAAATTATTTCTTAATAATTCCTATAACATTCCCTCCTGTGGAGATATCACCATAACTGCTGTTAGGGGGTTTTGGGCCACAACTCTTTCCGGCTAGTTTCTGCTGAAAAGGGGAGTCAAATGGGAAACAGCAGCTAGGGCTCCCCTAGGGTCGATCTGAGGGTCCTCTGAAGAACGGCATGTCCATCCAGTGGTGCTGCCACTGGTTCAGTTTGCAGCACCACTTGGAGTTTGATTGCTTTTAGGTAAGAGGAAACAATTCAAATTATAGTATTGAATATACGGGGTCCAAATATTGATACAAGACATAAAAGCAAGAGAGGGCTTAATAAAGGGGTTAACTAATTCCATAAAAACGACTGGAATTCATTCAAAGAGGGGTTGTACCCACTTGACGCTGAAGCCTGCATTTTCCCTGAGCCTGTCAATAATTTTGATTTGATCTTTAAGTATCTATAACTCTATTGCAAATAGTAGAATAAGTATAGCAATTCCCACAAG